CTTCGGGCGGAGTTTCGTCCGGGGAGGTAGAAAGACCCTATCCCGTTTATGCGGGGTCTACGGGGATTTTTTGGCCGAGCCTACGGGCTCGGGAACCCCACATTAAATTCGGCCTTGTGCCACATGTGACTGCATGGGGCAGTTATTAAATAGCGTCTGTTAGTCAGTCGGTCGGTCAGTCAGTCAGTCGATACCGTACGACAGTTAGTCGAATACTAAAGCGAATACTCAGCGACCACAACTAGATTACTCTGCGTAATATCTATTATATCAAGTTCCTAACGTTTTGTACGTCGAACCTATTTTAGGACCAACTTAGTACAAATACAAGCATCCACTGTGAAATCACTCCACAACACTTTCTGAACTAACCAACGGACTATTCTTTGGCCATGGTAATACGAAAGGTGAGAATAGCTGATTCCATGCAAAAAATATCTGACGTTCATTGGTGGAACAGTTCAACGGTTGAATTTTATTAAAAAATAAGAAAACTTATCTTATTTTTTTTTTTTTTTATTCAGGAAATTAAATTTTCAATTCCACTAGCTGTTATATCTCTTTCTAATGTTGATGACTTTCCTTTAAGACAATGTGGAAATTTAATATCTCCATTATATCATTATTTTCCCTTCTGCTAACTTTGATGTCCTGTGTGGCGTGAGAAATCGGAGAGCCGAGTTCGGATTCCAGTCGAATTCTTTATATTCACTTACGCAAAATTACCCCTGAGAAAAGCATGAATCTATCTCTTCTCCCGTATCCTCAGGCATTGGTAAATAGTAGGACAGACTGGAACATATAGCCTTGGTTGGCAGCCAGTCTACCGCAGTAAGAAAACGGCAGCTAGCCTACTACGGGAAATCTGCCTAGTCGACATCGACAGGATCGCCCAATCGTGTGTCACGTATGGCATTTGGCTTACATGCGCTGCCCATTTTCTTTTTTACTCTTTTAAAGCTGGAAGTGTTTAAATGATGTGGTTTTTGTTATTTGGTAAAGATCTAAGTAAATTGAAATGAAAACAGTGATAATACATATCCTAAAACCACAATAAAATTTCTGAATATGAAATTTATAAATACTACACACTTCAAATACCTTGACATATTGATCAATTATAACAAATTTAGTATAGGGGAGAAAGAAATTAATTGGTTGTTTTTGTTTAGCGGTATATCATCCTCAATTGGATACTTCGGCGTGGCATAATGGTTAACAAGATTGTCTCGCTAGATCAGTTACGACTGAATAGTGAGTTCGATCATCACTAGGTGCTCCATATTTTCGGCCTTGTGCCACATCTAAGCTACGCTTAGAAAATCATTTGGACACCTCGGCGTGGTGTAATGGTTAGCAAGCTCGTCTCGCTAGATCAGTTACGACTGAATAGTGAGTTCGATCTCTCCGATCTAGGTGCCCCATACTTTCGGCCTTCTGCCACATCTAAGCTACCTGGGCACTTCGACGTGGCGTAATGGTTAGCAAGCTTGCCTTACTAAATGAGTTATGACTGAATGAGTTCGATTATCACTGGGTGGCCCATACTTTCGCCCTTGTGACACATGTAAGCTATGCTTAGAAAATCATTTTGCCGCAATTGTTTCAATTGAAGCAATAAATAACTATCATCCTGTACTGGTTATTTAATTCCGAAATCTGAGTATTTTGTGCGTAATTTTATCTTTGGAGATTATAACGGTTTAGTGCTAAAAGTATGACAAATAGCCTATAGATGAGGCAGAAAAGGCGGATGCGTACCTTCCCCAAGTGTATTTGCGTGTAAGTAAATATAATGAACCCACTAGAATTGAAGCTGGGTTATTTGATTAACAATTCTGAGCCATTATTCATTATACCACCCGCAATCGTACGGGAACCGATGTCTCAACATGATGTGGCCGGAAGCCATGTTAAAAAATGTTGTGATCTCAATGATCATTCGTTGACATTTTCGTAATCCTCGTTATAGTAGAGACTTTGTAATCGCATATACAACTATAATACACCGTTGAACAATATTGGTGTCAGACGCCTTCGAATAATTTCGTGCTAATAGTACTTGCTCGATAATACTCGCTCAGTAATCCGTATAGTGATCCGGATAGAGAAATAGTATAGTGAATAGAGTAGAGAATAGCAATCTGTATAGTATAGAGGATAGACTAGGAATGGCGAGCGTTAGACGTCAGCTACTTCTTACATATATACGTTTCGTCTATGGTCACGTGGTAATTCAATAATGGTATCGCCTGTGTTTACTCACTGGCGATCTATGTTCAAACTCAAGTGTCGGCAGCGACACTTTATTCCTTTTTTTTAACGTTTCACCCCAAGCAAGGCGGGAAGCCAGTAGAACGCAAGGGGTTACAAAAGATTTGGAGCAAGATCAGATAGGAATGATAGAGGAAAGGATGAGGAGAAGGATAGTGGATAGATCAAGGCAACTGGAGATGTCGATTGACATTACATTTGAATAGTAGGAGATTATAGCTCTCAGGGAAACAGGAATAGGGAAGGGAGTTCCACAGGCGAGAGGTGCGAGACATGAAGCTATTGGAGTAGAAGAGACGGCTACATTTGGTAGTTTCGACAGTGAAAGGGTGAGAGCGGGATGCCAGCCTCGTAGGGCGCTTGAATTCATATATAACAAAATTAAATGCAGAATAGTTTGCGCTTGGTGTATTATGGATATTCTAAAAGATCTGATGAAATATATTCTTATTTATGACCCACATGTTTCGTTACCTTGAAACGATTTTTAATCATTGATCTTAGATAACGGTTTGACAGTAATGCATTGAGATGCGATTTCAGTTCGTTCCAGAAACGAGCACGTAACTCAAAAGCCTCGTATCTCAAATCAATTTTTCCCATTGAAATTAATGGGAATATTTCCACTCCTTTCCAGGTCCCTAAAAATCACTTTTATTTTCATAAAACTCACCCCTATATTTGTATTTGTGGGTTTCTTGCAAGCAAAAACGTGTGAATAAACAAAGAATGTGGTTTACAAACAATAAAATAAAAGAGAAAAACAAATTGTAAAGAAATAAACTGTACTAAACTATAAAGTTCAGACCAGTCACGTCTAGCCTAGTTTTACGATACCGAAGATTAACTTTATCACTTGATTTAAATTTTTTTTAAAACATTTACATTTTATCCATTAATGTAACTAATTTTTTTTTTAATTTTATATTTTTTTTTTATTTATCGTCGATGTAGAACACTCATACTGTGTCGCCAAATTCATTACTCGTACATTTTTTTTAAATCTCCCGCTTTACCCCAAGCAAAATCATAGGGTGCGGCTTTTCACCACGGCTCTTTACACTTACTTTCTACAGATCCATGATGTCACTAAAGAAATTTTGCAAAATATCGGCAAAAAAAGACACAACACAACAACATAGATGCTTCCAGAGCGAGGTGAAAACGTTTACTGCGAATGGAAATACTCTCCAAGCTTGGCGTTCGCTGCACCATCTAGACGATGTTTAACTGAAACTCGCTCGTCTTTAACGTCTGACCACAAAGGTCAAGACAGGAGTTCTTGAAGATTACATCTTGGTACTTGGTAGCACGGAATGAGACGCGAGAGAGAGAGAGAGAGAGAGAGTTTACACGTGTTCTGTTTTTATAATTTTGTTGTACCACGTGGGAGGCTCAAATGGAGAACGCAGGAAAAAACAGATTTGTCACGTGCAGGCGGTTTGACTGGTCGGAACTGACTAATCAGCGAGCTAGATTGAAAGTGATTAACCAATGAATGCTTGTTATATATTTGCAAGATTGTGATTGTGAAAATTACAACAGGAATAGTGCATTTCCTAGCAAGGGTTAACTGGCTTGTTGTGGAAGATTCCACATATATATATATATATATATATATATATATATATATATATATATATATACTTTTGTATTCTTATTTGCTCTTAGGTCCTTTGTGGAATATTCTGTTTATTTATTGACTTTAGTCAAGGTACTTCTTTAGTTCTATTTCTTATTACAGTCATATACTTAATATTCAACGCCTATTATGTACCTTGACTTGGAAAGAGATTAGTTAGTAAAATCAACATTTGTTGCATAAAATAAAATACTTCTTTCGTGATTAGGTTACGAACTTATTGATGTGTCAATGTTTATAACCTTGGATTAAAAATCATTTGCCATATGTAACGGTTTGATTATCAATCATTGTGGTTAGAATGAGATTTGAAAATAAATTCTAATACTTGGCAGCTATTTACAATCTGATCAATTTTCCGAAACGGTCGATGTGATCATTTATTAAGATTTTGGGTTGTGATGGGTAGAGAGATTTTCATCACAAACGTTTACAACAGATATTTATTTTCCTGTATAATCACATTCTTACTGACTGCACTTATAAGCTATTCAAGAGATCAAGCGTTGCACATGAATATTTCAAATCGAAATTCCGCTGATAATGCAGTTTTAGAGTACGAAGTCATTTATCCAGCATTGAAGATAGATAAATATATAGATACATATAATCAAACTGAAATAAATATATAGATAGATATGAAGAAACTTATATATATATATATATATATATATATATGTGTGTGTGTGTGTGTGTGTGTGTGTATGAATATATATATATATATATGTGTATGTATGAATATATATATATATATATATATATATATATATATATATATATATATATATATAGAGAGAGAGAGAGAGATGAACTGAAACAGATAGATATGAACAAACTGAGATAGATAGATAGATAGATAGATATGAAAAATTTAGCTAGACATAAGCACAGATAGATATGAACAAATTTAGATAGACATTAACACAGATATGAACAAATTTAGATAGACATAAACACAGATAGATAGATAGATAGATAGATAGATAGATAGATATGAACAAACTGAGATAAATAGATAAATAAATATGAAAAAACTTAGATGCACTGTTAGGTGCCGAGTAGGAGGCGCTTGCAGTCGCTTCACGTTGAAACACCGGTTCCCGTACGATCACGGAAGTTAAGCAACGTCGAGCCTACTCAGTACCTACGTGGGTGGCCACATGGGAATACCAGGTGCTGTGTGGGTGGGTCTACTGGATAATAACTCGGAATTATTAATCAGAGAACCGAGTTCAAATTCCAGTCGGGATCGTTATATTCACTTACACGCACTTACTTTTTGGGAAAGATATGAATCCACCTGTTCTTCCCCTTCTATATACATATACACACACACACACACATATATATATATATATATATATATATATATATATATATATATATATCCTAATTTACTTTTTTTCTTATTTACTCTTAGCTCTGTCGTGGACTATTCTGTTTTTTTCTTTCTGTATATGCATTTTCTTCTTTTTCTTTTTTTTTTTCTTTTTCTATTCCCCTTCAGAACGTTGGCGATCATGGCTCTCCACAATTTCCTGTCCTTAGAAGCTCTTATTTAATTTTGTCTTTTTTTTTTTTATCTCTCCTAAATTCTGTTCTGCTAACCCTTTACACAAGCTCGTCAGGTAGTTATGTCCTGTTTTCCTCAGTCCCTTTGATTTGACATTTGAGGCTCTATGAGTATCAAATATTCCAAGTCCTTTTTTTCTTATTATGTAAACTAGAAATGGAAACTGTCTCTTCCTGACCTTTTGTTTCCATTTTCTCTAAAACTTCGCTGTTGCTCACATTTTCCGTCCATATCATTCTCATCATCCTTCTGTAGCATCACACTTCCATCGCCTCAAATTTCCTCTTCATCTGTGTGGAGACGGTCCTGCATTCACTACCATATAGAAGGACTGATATTCTATAACAGTTCAGTAGACTTTTCTTTGTTTCTAAGAAAATGTTAATAATCTTTTGGAAGGCATCTTTCACTATCCCAATGCAGCTTCGGATTTCGGTGTCACACTCTGTTAAAACACTTCCAAGACATGTAAAATCAAGTTTAACTTAATTGAGTTTGGTATCTCCGATTTGTAATTTGCATGTTGGGATCTTCCTTTTGCTTACAAGCCTGCTTTCAGTTTTCTTGCAATTGATGTTTAGTCCTTTCTTCTCGCTTTCCTTCGTTACCATCTGGAGGAATTCTGGTGGTTTCCTTTCTGTGTCTGTTATCAACACTGTGTCATCTGTATGCCTTCTGTTGTTAAGATTGTGGCCGCTAATAATGAATCCTGGTAAGATTTTTAATTCTCTCAGAATCGCCTAACAGTAAAGGTTGAATAAATCCGGTGAGAAGACACATCCTTGTCTTACAGAATTTTCTATTTTCGTTTATTTACTGAATTCATTTTCTATCCGTATGGAGGCGATTTGCTGCCAATATAGGTTCTGTATTTTAAGTTTATTTATAAATAGCCATCATCATTATTAATTTTCACCAGTTAATCTTTACTCATTTTTGTTGCTTTTTAACATAATAAAATCCTCACATTATTTAATATTGTTGAAATTATCGCTAACATTTTCGTTTTGTTCAGTTGATGAAATTTAAATAAGCAGATTTGTTTGGAAAAATACCTTGACAAAAATCCAACTATAATAAGCCGTAGAACAATATTGGTGTCAGATGCCTTCGAATAATTCCGTACTAATAGTACTTGCTTGATAATACTCGCTCAGAAATCCGTATAGTGATCCGAATAGAGAAATAGTATAGTGAATAGAGTAGAGAATAACGGTCCGTATAGTATAGAGGATAGACTAGGAATGGTGAGCGTTAGACGTCAGCTACTTCTTACATATATACGTTTCGTCTATGGTCACGTGGTCTACTTAATTCAATAATGATATCGCCTGTGTTTGCGGTTTAATAATTTCTTCAAATTAATTTAATTTTATAGCTCATGATAAACAATATTTCTTTTTAAAAAAAAACTTACTTTTTTAGAGTGAAGAATAAATTCATAGGATTTCTTACTCTTGAGCATGCAAAATAAAACTGGTCATGAGTAAATATATCTTTAAGGAGCCAAATTCTAACCTGTTCAAGTGTTTGACCTTATGATTTATGTATAATTCTCGCAAACGCAGGGCCAACTGGAATCTGGATTGTTGTATATATAAAACTTAAAGAAAAGATATGCAAAAAACAATATTGTACTTTTATTAAATAGGTATTTGTTATATAATCATTAAATTGTTTTTAAAATAGTGGGAGTATTTTGTATGTTAAATAATAAAATTGTTAATTGTTTCAAAAAAATAATGAAAATGTATTCTACTAAGCTACGTACCCTAGTAAAACCAACTGTACTTTGTACCCCACCCCCTTATCTGTTTGCACTTCTTCCCCAAATTTGGTTTCGATTGGTTGATGTATGGCTATTTTAGACGGTGTGACGAACGGACGGACGAAAGTTACAGAATTCTATTTATAGATTGTCTGGTCAGCGTTGTTTTTTTTTTTTTTTTTTTTTTTCGTTCTTTAACGTAAACTGAACAGATCGAAAATGAACGAATAATCTGGTAATAATTATAAACGTTGAAATAAAGAAAACGCTATTATCAGTTATGTGCCATGCGTGATATACGCTTAGGCGATCATGTATATTTCGATACATGACTGTCGAGGCAGATGTTTTTTATTTCCCGCAGTAGGTTGCCATTTCTTTCTGCGGTAGATCAGTTGCCATCCAAGGCTATAGAACACGGTCTGTCCTGCTTTCCCTGGTGGGAGAAGAAAAGGATTCATACCTTTCCCAAAGGTATTAGCACGTAAGTGAATGTAATGGATTCGACTAGAATTCGAACTAGGCTCTCCGATTCCTCAATCCGAGCCACTATCCATTACTCCACCGTAGGTTTAAAAAATTAGGTTTCATTATAGATTCCTGGCTATAACCGATTAATGTCCACCAAACTATTTTTTGACTGGTGGGCACAAATAAGTTGAATTATAGACATGATAGGGTAGGGAAATACCTGTAAAATATTAGGACTTTTTTTTTAAGCATTACGCCCCGAGCAAGGCGTGAAGCCACTAGGATGCAGGGGGTTGCAGAAGATTTGGAGCAAGAGCAGATAGGAGTGATAGAAGAAAGGATGAGGAGGATAGCGGATAGATCACTGGAGATGTCGATTGACATTACATTTGAATAGTTGGAGATTATAGCTTTCAGGGAAACAGTAATTGGGAAGGGTGTTCCACAGGCGAGAGGTGCGAGGCATGAAGCTACTGGAGTAGAAGAGACGGCGATATATTGCAAGAATGTGATATTTAAACACAACCACTCTTCGAATAATAATAGGAACAACTAAACAAATGAATCGGACAAACCTTCAAAATATAAGAACACGGTAATAGAAATGGCAAGAATATATATAACACATAGGAAAATAGCAGGGAAGCCCTCGTTATGTGAGATGCAGGTATTGAGCTTATGAACAACTCTTACGTATTCAGGAAAACTCTTTCGATGTAAATATGTTCAAATAATTTTGAAGAAAAACACAACTTTATCTCGGTGCTAAAAACTTGGTAAAGGATTGTATCAAATGGCAAATTAAGAAAACTGGAAATAATAAAATTAATAATCATAATAATAAAAATAATAAGAAGAATACAGTGTATTACATTTTAAATATGTCAGGGTCTTTATAAACAAAAATTAATAAGATCACTTGGTAGCTCACTTTTTTTTAGAAAAGATAAAAAAAAAGTATGCTATGCGGAACTAGTCACCTACTCAGGAGAATATTATCAATGTAAAGAAAATATAAACACTGTAGATACTAAGGATCGCTTAACATCAGAATTTGTGTAAACAGAATGTGTGTATATTTATTATCTTTGCCTTACTCCAGGTCTTGGGTAATGACCCGGTAAGGGATTGTACGGAACAGAAAGCAAATAATAATAATAATAATAATAATAATAATAATAAGTACCGAGAAATAGAAATTGAAAAGAATGCGGCATTTGAACACCACCGTTGTTCCAATAATAATAGAAATGATTAATAACAACGCTGATACATAGATTAAGAAAATCTCTGGAATAATAATAATAATAATAATAAGAAGAAGAAGAAGAAGAAGAAGAAGAAGAAGAAGAAAATTGTTATTATTATTATTTGAATCTATTGGTGAAAGAAGGAGAGAACAATAACGATTTTGCTACAAATTTATCTATCTATTTTGCTATCTCTCTCTTTATATATATATATATATATATATATATATATATATATATATATATATATATATATATATATATATATAGTAAATGGCTGTTACCCACTAAATAGTGGACGGACAGGTCAACCTAATAAACTCTGGAGTTGGGATACTGAAGGTAACATCAACCAGCTAAGTAACAAACTTTTTAGTCACATTACATATATATATATATATATATATATATATATATATATATATATAGATTCCTATAGCGATGGAACAATATTTTAAATAAGTTAATTTATAACAATATTTTTATATATATATATATATATATATATATATATGTATATATATATATATATATATATATATATAATATATATATATATTCTTTTAGAATATATATATATATATATATATATATATATATATATTTTTAGAATATATATATATATATATTTCTTAAGAATATATATATATTTTTTAAAGAATATATATATATATATTCTTTAGAATATATATATATATATATATTCTTAGAATATATATATATATATTCTTTATATATATATATATATATATATATATATATATATATATATATGTGTTCCATGCTTGAATGGAATACTCACATTTTAAAGATTGCGTTTAAGTATAAAACAGACTATCGCCACTTGGTGTTGAACACAGTGTCCACTTTTATATTTACATACTCTCTATCACTGATATTTAACACTTTTACCCACAAACACAGCATACGTTAACACTATATATTGATCACACACACACACACACACACACACACACACACACACACACACACACACACACACACACTTTGTTAAATATTAAGTATATAAGAAACAGAACTAAAGAAGTACCTTTAATAAACAGAATAGTCCACAAAGGAGCTAAGAGCAAATAGGATAAATGAATATATATATATATA